TGACATGTCCAAGGGTGCACGTCTGTTAAAATAAGTCCCCACATCTGAGTCGCTGCCTTCTGCATAGGATCTAGCTGCTCTAAGAGACCTGTACAAAGATTCCAGAAAGATAATTGTCATAAAATGAAAAAAGTGAAAGATTGAAAATGGACATGCCTTTGACAGTCTCCAGTAATGACAATCAAGAGAAATAAATTATCAAATCTGAGATGAATTTAAAGTTCAGGAGGTACATGTTCATGAGATGGAAGTTCCATCTGACACTATTTCACCTACAAAGTGATCAGAGGATAAACTAAGACCAGAGTTTAATCCCAGAGCCAGTAGACCAAAGTGCTGAGGGAGAGAGGAGGTCTGTGTGGGTCCCTGAGAACCAGAAGCATGAAATGTAGAGACACAGACAGAGCTCTTGGGTTCTATTCCTTCAGGACTGTTTGGTGCTGGATATGTAGCCCCTGCATGGTCTCCTTTGTGGTGTTTATTCTCTAGACTCTGTTGCAGATCCAGTTTCTTTCATTGGGATATAGAAGAAAATAATCATGACCAGTTTTTTTAAAATATATATTTTATTGATTTTTTTACAGAGAGAAAGGGAAAGGGATAGAGAGTTAGAAACATCAATGAGAAAGAAACATCGATCAGCTGCCTCCTGCCCACCCCCCACTGGGGATGTGCCCGCAACCATGGTACATGCCCTTGACCGGAATAGAACCTGGGACCCTTCAGTCCGCAGGCCGATGCTCCATCCACTGAGCCAAACCAGTCATGGTGATGACCAGGTTTTTTTAGGTAAGATTGTTGGTAAATATTAGGGTGGGATTGAAATTTTGGAAATTTAATTATGGAAAATATTCGTGTTGTTTTATTTTTTATTTAATTTATTATTGAAAGTATTATATATGTCTCCCTTTTTCCTCCATTGACCTCTCCTGGCTGCTTCCACCTCACAGCACATGCCCTCACTCCTCTCCTGTCTGTGCCCATTGGTTAAGCTTATATGCATAAATACAAGTCCTTTAGTTGGTCTCTTACCCCCACCCCTTCCCTCTGAGGTTTGACAGTTTGTTCAATTTTTCTATGTCACTGGAACAACTTTTATGTTGTTCATTATATTCCACAAATGAGTGAGATCATGTGATATTTATCCTTCTCTGACTGTCTTATTTCACTTACCATGATTGTCTACAGATCAACCTATGTTGTTGCAAATGGTAAGAGTTCTTTCTTTTTTACAGCAGTGTAGTATTCCATTGTGTAGAATGTCAATGTACTATATCTTTTTAATACACTCATCTGCTGATGGGCACACAGGCCACTGCCAAATCTTATTTATTGTATATTGTGCTACTATGAACATAGGGATGAATATATCCTTTCTGATTGCTGTTTCTGAGTTTTTTGGATATATTCCTAGAAGTAGATTTTCTGGGTCATGTGGCAGTTCTATTTTTAATTTTTTGAGGAAACTCCATACTGTTTTCCAAAGTGGCTGCACCAGTCTGCATTCCCACCAGCAGAGTATGAGTGTTCTTTTTTCTCTGCCTCCTCTCCAGCACTTGTTATTTGTTGATTTGTTGATGATAGCCATTCTGACAGGTGTGAGATGGAGCCTCATTTTCATATTGAGTTGCCTCTCTCAGATGATTAGTGACTTTGAGCATTTTTTCAGATTCTCTTTAAAGAAGTGTCCATTTAGGTCCTTTGCCCTTTTTTGATTAGATCATTTATCTTCCTTTCGTTAAGTTGTATGAGTTCCCTATAAATTTTGGTGGTTAAACCCTTATGGGATGCCACATTGGCAAATATGTTCTCCCATGCAGTGGGCTTTCTTCTTATATTGTTGCTGGTGTCTTTTGCTGTGCAGAAGCTTTTCATTTTGATGTAATCCCATTTGCTTATTTTCTCCTAGTTTCCATTGTCCTAAGAGATGTGTTGGTGTTGTGGAGTGCGAGCGACAGAATGACCAGAACTCCAGACTGATTAAAATTTAGAGAGCCTTTATTGACTGGCCAGTATCCGCTCCTCCACTCGGGAAGCCCAAGAAAGAAGCGGCCCTGATCATCTGCAGAGTTTAATATTTAAAGGGGACAACTACATCCGTGTTCAGGTTCCCATAGCAAGCAAAGCCAAGTTGCAAAAGCTAATTGTGTAGTTTTAGCCAAGCTATTCATCATCCTCTGTTATTCATTTGTGGGTAACTTAAAGGTCAGGACCGTTCTTAATTTTTATCTGTCTGTTCTTTGTAGGCTGTTGCTCAGCTGTGTGAGCTCAGTTCAAGAAACTGTACAGGCTGTCAAGCTGCTGAGGTGGCTAGGTAATTAAGCAGGCCTAAAAAATTTTTCTACTCTGTAACACAGTGAAGGCCCAGAAGGAAGTACAGGGTATGATAGAGACATCTTCTATGGCCATAGAAAATACCTGAATAATTACAAACAGGAGTTTGTTAGAAATAGAAACGTTAAAGATCATGCAGGCAGGGAACAAGAGAAATAAGGAATGTGTCACTGCAAACTGATGGGAAGGGGATCCCTGTTTCCTACATGCACATTCTCACAGTGTCTCTGTTCTAGAAGGTAACACCTTCCCAGGTCCAGGGGATCTGCACTTGGACACCTTTGGGGTCTGCCGGGAGCCAGTCCATCCTTGCTGTTTCAAAGGACCTGGCATATATGGCATACTGTTCTTAATATGTTTGCTCACCTTCTTGGCACTATGTGTTTTAACCAAGGTCTCTGAGAAAGGTTGTTTCCCCAGGTAGGGATTTTCCCCTGAAGTTAGGGAGGGAATAAAACCCCTCAACTAGGTGCCAGGCGGGTAATTAATCACTTTAACTACGAACAATCATGCTTAAGCTACATAATCTTTACTCCCTGGAATGGAGATAAGAAATGCCCTAACCTTTGTAATAGAGATTGATAGGATCGAATCAACTGGTATAAATACAGATGTAACAAGACAGCAAGACTCAGAACTTAGAATACAGAGCTTAGAACACAGAACTCAGAAGACAGAACCTACACACAGAACTTAGAAGACAGAACCCACACAGAACCTACAGACAGAAGAACTTTGCTGGAGAGAACATGGCAAAAGATCCTGGACTGAACCTGACTACAGAAATTGACAAGAGAACCTGACTAGAACCTGGTGACTGAACCTGGCTGGAGAACCTGGACAGAACCTGGCTGGAGAACCTAGCAAGAGAACATGGACACAGAACCTGGCTGGAGATCCTAACCAGAACTTCGCTGGAGATCCAGACCAGAACTTGGCTAGAGATCCTGGCTAGAGATCCTGGCTAGGCTGCTGATCAACTGAACGCTGTCTCCGTGTCATTCCTTCTTCGCTGACTCCGTCCACACCTTTGGGGACCCCTGGACCTGCTGGGGCAGGACCCCAGCAGGGGTCATTACTCACATGGTCTTGACATGAAACACCCAAGCTGCATAATCCACTTGGGTCCCATTTATGAACTCTCTCAACACATACAGGAAAAGGTTGACACCCCTCACCCTGGAGCCATGGTGATGGTGTGTCTGTATGAAGAGCTATTATTTCATTGGATCAAGACCCTTTCTCAGTCAAACATCATCATCATCATCATCATCATCATCATCATCATCATCATCACCATCATTGCCATCAACACCATTTGCTTACTTATAATGGTTTTTCTCATATTCTGTAGACATGATGCTTGTCTAAACAGAATGAGTTCTTTAGGAAAAGAAAGAAGGCACCTCCTCTGTAGATGTCATTGGGAAATTGAAGCCCCAAAGATTCAGCTTTATGTTGACACAAGGCCTTCTAAAAACTGTTGGCCTTGTATAAACTACAGATTCTGGCCAAGACATTGGACCATAACCTCTTCCCCATTCTATTATCACCATGACCACCTCCATCACAGTCATCATCATGATTTTCTTTATCATTTTCATCCTTATTTGCTTAATTACTATTCTTCTAATTTTCTGTAGACCTGGTGTTTGGACATACATAATGGCACTTTATGTAATTTTTTGCTCATTTTGTATAGTTGTTAAGTAAAATAGGTTGCCATACTTACTCTATTTCATTTTTGACTGCTGACAACTGATGGCTTATTCTTGCCTCATCTCCATCTGCCACACATGAGAAATCAGATAAAAAAGTCATGGTTCTGTCATTAGATGTCATTGTGAGATTGAAACCACACAAACCCCTGGAAGCAGAATTCTGCCCCTTCCCCCATCACCTCAACAACATAAATCCCCGAGCTAGTCTCCTTTCCTGGCTCCATCAAAGCAGGTCTGACTTGCTGAAAGGCCTTTGCTATGCTTCTCAGGGATTTCAACTACGTGCATAATAAACATTCCATTTCCCCTTGGGGTTAGTATTTGCCATCAGCCTAGACATCTGCATCAAGCTGCCCTGGTATCACGTACTCTCGGTGCTATTGGGATGATAAGTCAATGTCCTTCACCATCAGGGTCCTTCTTCTCTAGCTTTGAGGTCTCATGACTCTGGTGTCCCCTGTCCAGCACACTCACGTCCTGCTGACTGACTGGTACCCTGAGCTGTGTGGAGCTGAGCTGCACTGTGAGTCAGCAGAGCCTCTGGTTAGAAATGGGGGACCTGGGTCAGAAGATATGATGTTTATTATTTGGGCATGAGAGTGTCTGAAAGACTCTCTGTGGTTCATCCACTTGAGAAAGTTGTCTCTATTTACTACAGACTTTCTAACTCAGAGACATCAGAGGTAAGTGCAGAGTCAGGAATCCAGAGAGGTTCCCTGAGGGAAACTGTGACATGAAGAGGAAACCACACAGGAAACCAGCCCAAACCTCCAACTGCACCTGCTGCTGGGATGGTCCTTGTGTTCAGGAACCCTGAACGCCCCCTGGTGATCACAGCTCCTCCTGCAGGGAGGTTTGTGTGGGCTCACACTGACTTCCCCTCACGATGTTTCTTGCACAGTAATACATGGCCGTTTCCTTGGCTCTCAGGTTGTTCATTTGCAGTTACAGTGCGTTCTTGGGGTTGTCTCTTGAAATGATGAATCGGCCCTTCACAGAGTCTGCATAGTATTTCTGACTTACATCATTCCATATAAGTGCCACCCACTCTAGCCCCTTCCCTGGAGTCTGACAGATCCAGTGCATGTCAGCGCTACTGAAGGTGAATCCAGAGGCTGCACAGGAGAGTCTCAGGGTCCCCCCAGGCTGCACCAAGCCTCCCCCAGACTCCACCAGTTGCACCTCACACTGGACACCTGCAAACACAAAGACATCTTAGTCAGGAAACTCTCATGCATCCACTTTTTCTTTCTCTCATATGCACTCCCATACTCAGTCTTTCTTTTTCTTCATAAATTACCTCTCAAAATAGCAACAAGAAAAACCCAGCTCAGCCCCAACCCCATGGTGAGTGGTCTGTGTTCAGTCCTGATCAGGGAATGGGAACACCTGGGGATCCCGGGGCTGGGCTCCTGTCCCAGAGCTGCAGGGTCAGGGCTGGGCTGGCTTTTATGAGCAGAGAGTCCCCTATTTGCATGTCTTCCTACTATATAGTAAGTTCTGGGGTTGGATTCTGGTACAAATGACACTGTAGCAGAATGCAACATGTTCAAGGATGCATGTATATTAAATAATTCCCTGCATCTGGCCTATGTTGTCCACACGGGGACCAGTTACTCCAGCTCACCTGTTCAAAAAAAGGGAAGGATTAAAAATGATGGATTCATTCGACAGTCACCAGTAATGAAAAGAAAGAGAAATTAACCTTCACATCTGATAACTAGAATTGCAGCAGGTTCATGTTCAGGAAACAAGAAGTTCCATCTGACACTATTTCCCCTACAAAGTGATCAGAGGATAAACTAAGACCAGAGTGTGAGCCTAGAGCCAGTGGACCAAGTGTTGGAGGAGAGAGGAGCATCTGTGTGGGTCCCTGGGAACCAGAAGCATGAGCTATAGAGACACAGACAGAGATCCCGGGTCCTATTGTTTCAGGGGAGTTTGGTGCTGGATGTGTAGCAGCTACACTACCTCCTTTGCGGTATTGGTTGTATAGACTCTGTTGTAGATCCAGTTTCATACATTGGGATATAGAATCTCCCTCAAGACCAGGTGTGCTTAGAGTTAGATGTGGGTAATGATTGGGAAATAATTAAGTTTAGGTTATGAAAATCTTGTTATTGGAAACCTTGATGTCTGCATGTGACCATTGGGACTGCTGTCACCATGACCTGGTGCAGCTTCAGGTCTCTTGTCTGTGACCTGTCCTGGGGTGATCACAGGTGGATGCACCTGTGAGAAGGGTGCTGGTGGATGAAGGGGGGCAAATGAGTTTTACAGGGTTGGATCTGCCCTTCATGCTGTGGGAGGAACTAGGGAGAGTCAGCTGGACTCTGGCCATGGAGCTCAGGGACTCAGACAGATCTAGGAAGAATTTGGAAAGTGGAAGGCAGCTTGGGATATTTTATTCCTTAATTTTGGGAATATTTTGAGAAAGATAGGTGTTAGTTCTTTTTTGAAAGTCTGGTGAAATTCACCTATGAAGGCATCTGGTGCAGGACTTTTGTTTGCTGGGAGGTTTTGATTCCTGGTATGATTTCATTAGATTAAGTTGGTCTATTTAGATTTTCTTATTGTTTTTGACTCAGTTTTGAAAGGATATACGTTTCTAGGAATTTATCATTTCACCCATGTTGTCCAGTATGTTGACATATGGTTGTCCATAATAGTTTATTGTAACCCTTTCTATTTCTATGGTGTTGTTACTTCCCTTTCATTTTTTATTTTATTTATTTGTGTGCACTATCTTTATTTCTTGATATGTCTGTTTAAAAGTTTGTCAATCTAGTCTATCTTTTGAAAGAACCAGCTCTTGGTTTCATTAATTTCTTTAGACTGTGTTTTGTTTATTTCCTCTATGGTCTTTATTATTTCCTTCCTTGTTCTCACTCCAGGTTTTTTACCCCATTCCTTTAGGTGTAGAGTTAGATTGGTATCCTTGTTCCTGTTTCCTGAGGTGGGCTTGTGCTGGTTTGGATTTCCCTCTTATAACTGCTTGTTCTGTGTCCCATAGATTTTGGGTTGTTGTGCTTTCATTTTCATTTGTTTTAAGGTAACTTTGAGTTCTTCCTTGAACTCATTGATAACCCATTCATTGTTCAGTAACATGTTCCTTAGCATCAATGACTTTGTGTGTTTCTCTGTTTTTTATTTCTTCTTCTTGTGGTTGACTTATAATTTCATAACATTATAGTCAGAGAAGGTGCTTGATATGGTTTCAATCTTCTTAAACTTATTGAGATTTGCTTTGTGTACTAACATGTGGTCTATCCTAGAAAATGTTTCATGTTTCATGTGCATATGGAAAGAATGTATATTCTGCTGCTTTGGGGTGGGATGCCCTGAAGATTTCAATTAAATCCACCTGATTTAGTATGTCATTGAAGATCTGTGTTTTCTTGTTGATTTTCTGTCTGGAACATTTATCCATTGATGTCAATGGGGTGTTAAAATCCAATACAATGAAAGTATTCCTGTCAATCTCTCCCTTCATGTCCTTCAAGATTTGCTTTTTAAAATGTATTTTTTATTGGGAAGGGAGAAGGAGAGAGAGAAAGAAACTTCAAGGATGAGAGAGAATCACTGATCGGCTGCCTTGGCCTGCTCTGGAGAAAGAGCCTGAAATATGGGCATGTGCCCTGACTGGGCATCCAACTGTGACCTCCTGGTTCATAGGTCAGAGCTCAACCACTGAGCCACACAGGCTGGACTCCAGATTTTCTTTACATATTTAGGTCCTCTTTTGTTGGGTTTATAAATGTTTACCAGCATTATACCCACTTCTTGGATTGCTCCTTTTATTTTTATGTAGTCTCTTTTCTTGTCTCTTACTATAGTCTTTGTTTCAAAGTCTGTTTTTTCAGATATAAGTATTGCTGTTCTAGTTTTTTTTTTTTTTTTTTTTTTTTCATTTCTATTTGCATATAATTTCTTTTTTCATCCCTTTACTTTTCTCTGTGTGTATCTTTCATTCTGGAGTATGTTGGTTGTGGACAGCATAGATGTGAGTCTTGCTTTCTTATCTGATCAGCTACCCTATGTCTTGTGATTGTAGTATTTAAGCCATTTACATTTAAACAACTATTTATTGGTAAATCATTTTTTTTTTTTTTTTTTTGCCAGGAAGACCCTTCCCTCCCTACCTCCCTCTGCCCTTGATCCTGGGGCTGCTCTCTGGGCTTCAGGGGTGAAGATCACCCCCTGGTATCCTGAGCAACCCCTAGCCTAGCCCAACCCTGCTGTCTCCCTCAGGGCTGTTTATGTCTGGGCTCACACTGAATTCCCCTAACTCTGTCTTGCACAGCAATACAGAGCCATGTCCTTGGCTCTCAGGCTGTTCTATGTAAATAAACCTGATTCTTGGACTTGTCCCTGGTGGTGCTGAGTCTGAATTTCTGTGTGGGGTTATAGTTTGTACCCCCATAATCTCATATAACCCCAACCCACTCCAGCCCCTTTCTCAGAGCCTGGCAGGTCCCGTTCACATCATAGCTCATTAGAGAGAATCCAGAGACAGTGCAGGTGAGGGAGAGGGTCTGCGAGGGTTTCATCAGTCCTGGGCCCGACTCCTGCAGCTGCACCTGGGACAGGACACCTGGGGACAAGGAGCATCAGTCCTGTCAGTCACCTGCAGTCACAGCCATCCCATGACCCCTGTCTGACCCCTGAGACCCTCACCTTGGGGGGCTGTCAGCAGGCACAGGAGAAGACCCAGCAGCCTCATCTTCTTCTAGACCACAGTTCTGCCTTCCCAGAGATCTCAGCCCTGTGTGAGGAGAGAGCTGTGCTCCTGCACAGCCTAGGAGATGGTTTACCCTGAAATTTGAAAAGAAATTTGCATGTGGGGCAGCCTTTTCCTTCTAAGTAGAAGGACTGAAATCTGTATTTTCTGATCATTCTGGGGTTCATGTCAGGGAATCTCTTTTGAAGAGTCTCTATTTAGGTCCTTTGCCCATTTTCTGATTGGATTGTTTATCTTCCTTTTGTTAAATTATATGAGTTCTCTGTAAATTTTGGAGATTTCACCCTTATCTGAAATAGCTTTGGCAAATATGTTTTCCCATGCAGTGGGCTTCCTTGTTGTTTTGTTGATGGTTTCTTTTACTGTGCAGAAGCTTTATATTTTGATGTAGTCCCATTTGTTTATTTTATCCTTAGTCTCCATTGCCCTGGAAGCTGTGTCAGTAAAGATATTACTATGACATATGCCTAATATTTTGCGGTCTATGCAGTCTTTTATGATTTTTATGGTTTCCGGTCTTAAAGTTAAGTCCTTTAGCCATTTTGAGTTTGTTTCTGTGTATGGCATAAGTTGGTGATCTAGCTTCATTTTTTGCATGTATTTGACCAAATTTCCCAGAATAATTTATTGAAGAGACGGACTTGACTCCATTGCATGCTTTGCCCTCTTTATTGCTGGGAGTTTATTATTATTATTATTATTACTGCTTCTATTTCCTCTGTTGTTTTTGGCTTAATCACACTTTCTGATTTTTCCTGATTCAGTTTTGGGAGATTGTGTTTTTCTAAGAATATGTCCATTTCTTTGTTCATAGTATTTTTTTTATAATCCTTTGAATTTCTGTGGTGTCAGTTGTTACTTCTATGCTCTCATTTCTGATTTCATTTATTTGAGTCCATTCTATGTTTCTGGATGAGTCTGGCTAGTGGTTCATTTTGTTTATTCAAAGAATGAGCTCTTGGTTTCACCAAGTCCTAATTCTGGTTGTAGGTGTGTCCTCTTTCAGATACCTGAGCACAGTATAGACAGCTCCTCCCAAGAGGAACTATCCCCCATGAACATTCTCCTCATTGTGAGCTCACCCTTGAGTGACATGGGGCCACATACATCAGCTCTGGGCTTTGATACCAGAATGTCTTCTTCCTGGATCAACGTGTCTCCAAAATGTTGCCCCTAGTGAGGTAATAAATCCATCCCTGCCCCAACCCCTTACAATTTAGATATCCTGAAGCCATAGAAACACTCCCCTGTGTGTGGTTCTCATGTCTCATTGAGTCTGGTAAATGCTCTGATAGAGCAGGATATTCACATCACCTCAGCAGTCACCACAGTGTTCAAGTTCCAGTTTGGGTTGTTTGTATGAGGAGAGGAAGCCCCAGGCCTTAGAAGAAATCCCTGTCTAGCTCCATCTGGGTCAGCAGCCTGAGCTTCTTTCTGGGCTCTGAGCACCCCCTGCAGCCCAACCCTGGCTCTGCAGGGGAGGGTTCTGTCAGGGCTCACAGGGCGTTGACCTCTCAGCATCTCTAGTCCAGTGGTGAAGACTGTGATGTCAGTTTGCTCCCTCAGGGACACCATGTGGTTTTGATGTCTCTGAACAGAGTGAACTGGCCTCACTGAGCCCCAACGGCTCTTCACAGAGACACCAAATAGGGCTTTGGGAAG